CTATGAATGTGAAACCCAACACCTTTTCTTTCAACCAACTTATGAGTGTCTTGCTGAAGTGCGGTGACGACAGGATATTTGGAGTCTATCGCACCATGCATGAACGGTACAAGGTCCAAAAAGAGGAAATTGAAGTGCAGATCAAGCGCGAAGCAAAGAAGAAGCGAGCGATAAGGATGCGGTCCAGTGAAGAACCAGAAATTCTACAGGAGGGCGTAATGGATAGTTGCAGCACAAGTCCCACGGAGGCCCCATTAACGCTCGAGGAGATGATGGGTATGGAGGACGTGAAGAAGCCTGCACGCATTGCGGCACGTCAAATCCGACCTAACCTTGATACTTACCGCATTATTCTTTGTGCTTGTCTTCAAATGGATTTGGCATCAAGATATAACGTCTTTTACGACAAGATGCGAGCGGAGGGTCTTGTGCCTGACCACGATATGGCTATTCTCATGGAATCGATTTGTGAAGCCAACGGAGACAAGGTACTGGCGCTTCAAATACTTGAGGAGGCGAAAAGGAATGGTGTGGTGATTGATGTGGCATTGTTCAACGGCTATCTGAATGTCCTTGCCTCACTGGGAGATGCAGAATTAGTAGGCATTGTGGAGGTGATGCAACTTGGCATTATCTCGTTTAATGTGCGCCCCGATGTAGAAACATACAACACAATGCTCCGTGGCTATCTTTGCATGAATAAATACGAAGAGGTGGAAAAATTATTTTCTTCCATGTATTTATCGTACTCTCAGGTGACATGTAACGCAGAGACTTTTTGCTGGGTGCTGCGGGCGTACCGCGAGAAGCGTGACACAGAAGCAGCCACACAATTGCTGGATTCAATGCGACGGCGCAATGTTTCCATCACGATTCAACATTACCATGAACTAATGCGGGTATACTTGGAGGCGGATGATCCACGTGTTGAAGATGTCTTTTGGTCGCTTAGAAATTCCAAGGATAAATCGCTGCCGGGGGCTGATGCCGAATGTTTTTTTCTCTTGCTGAAACACTACTTACGACAAAAAAAATATGTGGAACTTGAGAGGCTTTTTACAGAATTAAGGGCAGATTTAGACGTGGAAGCGGATGCTGGATGTTATAGCGTTATGCTGGAGATGTTTTTTCTCCAAAAGAGAGTTACGGAAGCCAGAGCGCTCTTTACGGATATTCGCATGAAGTGTGTTCCGCCGTCGACAAGAATATACAATGCGCTTTTGCGAATCTTTGTATCCGAAGGCGACGCAGCCATGTATGAAGTTCTGGATGACATGAAGGCGAACCACATGGCACCAGCGGCCAATACTCTTGGTATTCTATTGGAGTATGCTGAAGGTAGGCGTCTTGTTTCGACAGCCGTTGAGCAAAAGATATTTTGGAACCCTGCAGAATTATTGGTAGGGCTTTGAATGGCTTGAGGAGGGAATAAGAGGCTCATGTAGACTGCAAAGATGAATGCTTATATCTTTGTTTCTTCCTTTTTTTTTTTTTTAAATTAGACCGCTCGTGAAGCTTGTATTTGGTTTTTTACATTTTTTTTCTCCTTTTTTTTTTTTTTTTGAAGTACGTGTGGGTGGGAGGGCAATACACGGATTTTGTTAACAAAATGCTTCGGCGATCGGGGCCATCGTTTCGTCGCCGCACGGTGACGGAGAAGGCGGTGCAGACGGAGGTCTCGTTCCCTTTTGAGTGCGTAGACACCAACAAGCACTACGAAGAGCTTGCCAGCGAACAATTCCAGGACCTCTGCAGACTGCGCGATTTGATTCGGGAGGCGATGAAGGAGGTTGCATGCTCTGTGTACGACGTTGTTGCCTTCAAAGATATCCTCTTCAAGATTGAGGACGAGCTGCCCTCCAAATTGCCAGTGACGGATATTTTGTTGCTGTCATCGAAATTGTTTCGTCGCACGTCGGGATTGGGCCATTTGCTTGCGTGCCTCTTTGCGGTGATGTTTGCAGAGGAGCACGCGGACGAAAATTTCCACTTCACGGAGATTCGAGTTTTGCGTCGCGAACTGCTAGATGTCAAGCAGCAGTTTGCCCGGGCGGAAAAGGAACGGGCGCGACTGCAGCACATGCTTGACGATGTTGGTAGAGTCGCCATGAATCATAGCCGTGCCGTGGAATTACTGGAGACGCGAAATACGGCACTGCAAATGCAAACAAGCGGGTTAGAGGATCAGATGGCGTTGCTTTTCTCACAGGTCAATAGAGACTTGCATCGCCAGTGCAAGGACGCCTACGAAAAGGTCACGAATGAAATTGATTCGCAGGATCGTATGGGCCTGACCCGGGTAACATTTCGCCAGACGATGGATTCCCTTAGTGATCAGCTACGACATTCCCGGAGCCTTATTAACGATGTGAGGGAGCTTGTCATGAGCTGTGCGCAGGGTAGTTCGGGGGGTGGTAGGAATGTGGATGCGCAGATATCGAAGGAACCGAGTATCCGCTTTAAGCTGAAGCAGGTAGAAAATAATTTCCAACAGCTCGTAGGCCGTTTTTCTTCCGTGAAGGGTGTGGTGGCGGAAACAGCTCAAGAGCTCGTGAATGCGTTACAAGAACGTAAAAATATTCTATACCTCTCGCTGCAACACATTCGACTGTATGACATTCAAAATTCGAGGATGCGTCAGAGCAAAGCCATCGTTGTGACAATGAGGAAGAAAATGGAGGAACTTCTTAAGCGAATTTCCCTGACATTTCCCCCCGGTGCAGTCACCTTCGTTGATCGCATTGGTCGTATTTCCACCCAGCAATGGCAAGTGGGCCAGACGTTAGCGACACTTCGTCATCAAAAGAATGCGGACCAACCAACTGAGGAAACGGCCTCAGATGTTGGTAAAGCAAAGAATTTTAGTTCTGGAATACATTCATCAAATGAGGCGTGTACACTGCAAGAGGACCAAAGAGGAAGTGAGCCGTTGGATGCCGAGTTGTACGGTACGTCGGATGTCACCAAAATACCCTTTCAGACGGTTTATAACCTCGTGGATGTAATAAAGCAGGCGGAGAACTCCATGGAGAGTCTGAACAACGTCTTGAACTTTGAGAGTGAAATCAACGCCTTTCTCAAAACTCTCACACTATCGTTGTCGACGACACCGCGGCATGTGGATGAGCCACTTGGCGAAATGGAAAATGAGGATGAGATTATTGAAAGGGCAGTTCATCCTACGGGCAATTTTTCTATACAGCGTCCTAGCATGGCTGAACACTCACCACGAAAGCTGGAGCGCGAGTCTGAAGCAGCAGCGAGCCAATACGCGTTGATGTCCTCTTATCATGGCGATCGGCGGGGCTCTCATGAGGTTGATAAACTAAAGTCAGAGGCGGCGGAGCAGGCTGAGCGGCTTAAGAAACTGCAGGAACAGTTGGATAGTATTCAACCAGAGTTTGCGGCCAAAATTAACTTTCTGCGCCAGGTGTATGAGGCCCGTATATGTGACTTGGAGACGAAGGAGGCCAATTACGGCCGTAGGTTGAACAGCATTTCTCCGCAGAGGGAAGGCAGGGAGCGGAGGGAATCTAAAATCCAAATTCGCTCAGATCGTTCTGTACCATCCTCGCAATTACAAGAGACTGCTGAGCCTGAAAAAGGAAGAAAAAAAGGAGACAAGGACCAACTCTTGCATGCACGATCGGAGTGGCAGCAGACAAAACCGGTTTTACAGGCGAATAAAAAGACACGGGACGCAACGTTGGGGGAACTCAATAAAATGATGAGGGGAGGGGGTGATGCAAATGTGAAGGCACGTAAGCGTTCTGCCCCCCGATCCAGAAGCCCAAGTACGAAGACGACGTAGTGAAGAAGAATTTGATGCCTAACGCGGTGCCGCATATATATATGCGTGTTGCAATTTATCTCGTTTCTGTGTTACGCTTAAAAGGATTGGCTTTTGTTTTTTTTTTCACGCTTCTTTTTCTTTTACTTTGGTCCTCCTGTCCGCATGCATGTGTACAAATAAATGTAAATAGTGATTTCCGAAGATTTTTTTTGTTCTGTCTTTCTGGTTGCCTTTCTCTCTCTGTGTGTGTGTGTGTTTGTTGTAGAAATGATGTCGCGAATTTGTGGGGTTGGCCTTTTGTTGTCCCTGTTTTCTTTTTAATCAAATGGAAGAAATGAGCAGCTGGACGCAAACACGCACGAGAAAACAAGAGAAATTATGAAAGAAGAAGAAGAAAATGATGTTGTCTGATGGTTTACGTTTTCGGACTGTCTTCTCTTCCGCCCTCTCGTTCTTTCTTTCTTCCTTTTCCTTCAAGATGTTGAAGACGCGTGTTGCGGGTGATGCAACGCATGCGCACTTGTCTTTCCAACGCCCCCACCCATTTTGGCCTGATGTGTACAGTCACCGTACATCACCCGTAGCGCATATATGTGTAAGTATATTTGCAGTTAATACTGCTTTGTCATATCTATTCATCTTTTTTTTTTCTTTCTTTTCAGTGGTATACTGGTGGCGTAGGCCTTTTTGTTTTCTTTTTTTTTTGCCGAGTAGCACACTTTCTCCTGTTAATCCCCAGTATACCATTTTACTACACGAAGAGGGAAGGAGTACATAAGGGGGAATCGTGATAACAAATCAAGGAAATAATGTCTCATACAGAGGCGGACAAAACCGTATTTGCGGAGATCACAGCACGTGACAGTGAATGCAAGATCTGCTTCGAATGTGGCGCACCGAATCCACAGTGGTGCGATGTGCATCATGCCGTTTTTATCTGCCTTGAATGTAGCGGCGTACACCGGAGTCTTGGAGTCCATCTCTCATTTGTACGGAGCCCAACGATGGACGGTTGGACAAACTGGCGGCCAGAAAAGTTGCGGCAGATGCAATTGGGTGGCAATCGTCGTGCCCGGGAATACTTTGAGCGCAACAATGTTCCCCGTGCCCCTATTCAAGCACGCTATGAATCCCTTGGTGCACTTCGCTACGCTGCCATGTTAGAGGCCGAAGCTCTCGGCAATTCGTTTGACGAGAAGTCGTGGAAACCACCGGAATGGTACGAGCGTCTAACACAAGGAAGACAGAGGGAAAAGGATGCCATGGCGCCGCAAGCACCGCAGCAACATCGTCCCTTCACTGGCATGGGGTCAGACGGAAAGCAGTGGAGCGAGAAAAATAGCGCCGGTAGTGGGGATTGGTACAACTCGCTGGCCGGCGGGTGGGCAACGCTCTCAAAGAAGGCAACAGAAATAGCAGGGAGTGCAGGTACACAAGCGCGTACTCTCATGCAAGAGGCAGATCTGGGGGATGTAAAGACAAAGTTGTCCTCGGGTTGGTCCACGGTGTCAGGCTACGCAAATCAACTATCAACGAAGATCACGAATATTGCGAAGGGTGAGGACGATGGTGATGGACTGACAGGAATGACACGAAAAGCCAAACTGGCAGGGCAGGAGAGTGCGAATGACCCTTTGGTAACACGTGAAGCGTATGAGCATATTGAACACCGTGCAGAAGGGTTATCTCCACGTTCCTCCGTTCCATTTTCAAAATTCAGAGGCCGTCAATGAGGGCAATAGCAGAAACGAACGGACAACTGGACGAATTGTTTTTCAAACCGCTCATTCACGAGGTCCATTTTATGGTTTTGTTACCTCAATGAAGAGAAATATCTGAACTCAACGAGTATTTGAAATGAATAATCACACGAATTTTTTCCTTTTCCTTTCTTTTTTTTTTCCTTTTTCTTTTTTTTTTTTCGTTTTTGTTTGTGCAAACGCTTTGCTGGAGGTTAAGATGTTGGGGGGTGGACAAGGAAATTTTCACTAGAAAAGAAGGAAAAGAGCCGCAGGAAAAAGACGTTATTATTATTTACGTGGGCAACCACGTGGGTATTTGTCCCCCCACCCCATCCCTTTGAATATCCTTTTGAATGTTATTTCCACAATTTTTTTTTCTTTTTTTTTTTTTTGTTCCACGTATAAATGTGTCAAAAAAATTTGTTTATTAGTTTTGGTGTCGTTTTCTCATGCAATTGATGCCTCCTTTTGTGTTGCTTTTTTTTTTTGTTTTTGTGTGTGTGTGAGCCTGTGATTGCGTAAAGCCCTTTTTTTGCTGGGGAACTGTGGGTTGATTGAGTGGAAATTAAATGGGATCCCTGTTCAAACTGCGCGATCACTGGTACAGCAGCTACCGTGGCGAAGAGTTTAGTCACTTCTCCGCGTTGACGCTCGGAAACGCTGACAACAACCCCGACGCGGAGGACAAAATTATCTTCGGGTCCTTCTCAGGGACTCTGCGTGTTCTGCGGCCGACGAAGAAGGGAGCAGCGCAGCCGGACGACACTCTCATAGAGAAGGATTTTGGGGCGCCCATTTTACAGGTGGCGTGCCGACCGCTGGAGCCTGTTAGTGGCGGTCAACCGAAGAATTTGATAGTGATTTTGTTTCCAAAACGGTTGGTGTTGGCCCGTCTGCTTCGCGAGGGGGACAAGGAAAAGGAAACCGAGAACACGGACGATTTTCTCAGCGCATTGTATCGTTTTACAATACATTATGAGGTGTGTCTTGCGAGTGCATCGTATAACTTTACATGCGGTAATTTTGGCCGTGCATCCCATGAAATGGTGTGTGTTCAATCCATGGACGGACAAATTACCGTTGTAAATCATAATACGGTTGTGTTACAGTGCTTTCTTCCCAGATCACAGTTTTTGTTGCCTGGATGCTTTTTGTATTGTTCTCAGCGAGATTATTTTTTGACGAATAATTCCGCTATGAACCTTATGTGTTACTCCTTTGCAACCCTTGTGAGCAATCGGATAAAACCAGAGGTTTACATGGAAACGAACGAAAACGGTGTCTCAAAAACCTGTGGTGAAACCATTTCCCCATCGTGGACGTTTCTCTTGGGGGAGGATGCGGTGGGGATTGAGGTGTGCCGCCACACCCGTGGATTGGGCGCAGAGGATGCCGACATTGTGGTGTTGTGCCATTACAGTTTATTTGTTTTACGCCTTAGTGGAGAGCTACGCTTTTCCAAAAGGCTGGACGTGGAAAGTTTGTGCCTCACGTCATATCTGGTTCCTAACGCCAACGCCTGTAACCTCCTGATTGGTACGGTTAATGGATCAGTGAATGTCTACTCCGACGCATCCCTCGACTGGAGTGCCAAGATGGCCATGGATGCCCCTCTGTGTCTTGCCGTTGGGGAATTCTTTAAAACGAGGGGAATGATTGTGTCACTTAGCACAGAAGGGACGGTCAGTGTCAATTACCTTGGAACCGACCCCGAGGAGAAACCCATTCAACCCCTGGAGAGCAAGGAGACGGACTATGTTGAAATGGAGCGTGAACTACGACAGACTCTGCATGCAATCAAGCAAGCCGGCGGCAGTGAGAAGTCATCAGCAAAAGAAAACGCCACCGTAGAAGGGATACTGCGTGTCGAGTGGGGGATCCCGCCAACGGAGGTTGAGGATCGGGAAGCTGCAGTTAATGTTTCTTTGATTCTCTCCAACACGAGTCCCACGGACCCTGTGAGGGAGGTAAAAATTGCAGTAAATGTAGCGCAGCCCATCCGGGTTGACATCCTTCAACATGAGCTGAAAAAAATTTCTCCGAATCAGGTGGAACATGTCTCATTTCGGTTTGATGCTCAGAACAATAAAGATATGATTATTCCTTCTTCTCTTGAGGCACGTGCAGTTGTGATGTATGTATGCAAGGGCAGTCTAACCTGTACAGTGAGTGCCACAGTCCGCCTTCCTTTAACTCTTGTGGCACGACCGACTCCTCCCGTTAAAAGTATGAATTTTGTCATTCAGCTTAACACCAACAAGGATGTTGCTCCATCCTTGTTTGATCTTTTTCCAGACATGGCGTACTCCGTTGATATCACTGCAAACATGCTGTCAATTCAATATGTAAATGGGGAAGATGCGACAGTTTTAGCTTCTAAGAACGCTTGTCGTTTCCGTTTTCAAGCGTCAACCATGGAGGCACTTTGGATACTTGCCGAAGAACTTCATAGACGACTCTCTGCTTACTACGACTTTAAGATACAATTTAGTCTCCAAGATCCAATTCCATTAGAGAGCTATTATAATGTCATTGACACTCATCTTGCCGTGAGGAACGAAATGATAGAGGCAAAAGAGGCATTATCGCGTGCGGCACAAATGTTTTGTGCCGTGCAAAAACGTTTGTTGTTGCTCTTTCGAGAACGCAACCCCACACCGGTGGGAATGGTGGATGTTCTCCTTGAAGAAAGCTACGCGGAAATTCAGAGGTGCGCAGATTGTGTTAGTGTGGCCAAACCACGACAGAAACAAGCTGCGGCTATGTTGTCTTGTTGCTCAAGGCTTATTCTAATGCAACTATTCATCAAGTGTCAAGAAACGTTTAAGAACCCTGACATGATTTCTCTTTTGGAGTCCATCTTTACCTGCGCTATAGACGAGGACGCTGACGTTAGTTGGGAAGAACTGACGGACGCAACTCTGGGCCATATTTTGCAATTGTCTAAAGTAGAGGGGGATCTAACTGCCGCTCATGGCCCCGTCCCTCTCAAAGTTATCAGCGATCGGTTAAAAAAACGCATTTCTACGTTGTTTGATCGAATGGTTGATGGGTCGCAGATTGGGCTCTTTTAGGGCAATAAGTAGGCCTGGGGGGTTAGGGGATCTCCCGCGTGCATCTCACCATGGCCTTTTCTTCTTGCTGTTGTTGCTGCGGTTCGGAGTCGCCATTGTTTTGGATCTCATAATAAATGAAAACTGAGGGAAGAGGAGGAGGAATTATTGTTATTTCCCACCCCCATGAAGAAAAAAAAGAAACGAAAAACATTTTCCGCAT